TATGTATATTATATGTATTATATATATATATATATATATATATAGTTTCCCCTTGACTTTCTCGAACTTATCAAGTATTGCTTGTGTTGACATTGTGTCATCATACCTCATTCAATCTCCACACCCCTCCATCAGAGCCCTAAACGTCCTTATCTCAAGATTGTACATGTTGCCCTTCAACTTACAATGTCATTGCACTCGCTTCGTCACCAGCCATAGCCTAAGCCTTCTACATGCTCGTTTGAGCACATCGAGGCACTTGCCTTCCAACGCTCAACCAGAACCCTTGACCTCACCCAATGCGTAGGCGTGTGCTAGCGACTATGTAACTATTCAATCGTGACCATGCCCCACTGCACACGTGGGATATCGTCCGTCCACGGACCCTGTGCGTACAGCCCTTCCGGCTTTGACCATCCTTCAACCCTTCTTCAGTACCCCTAATCGTCGGATATTGGTTGTTTGTATTGGTGTCCAGGCACTTGCTCTGCAACTGCCCATTATGGACCTTGACTTGAACCAATGCGTGGGCGTGTGCAAGCGTCTGCATCTGGACGTGGCCATGACATCGCTTGTCAGCAGAGGCCTGCATGACTATGTCAGCCCCGTGATGGATCAGTGGAAGCGATTGATGACCACACACCAGGTAGGTATACTGTGCGCATACATACGTAGATTATGTGTATATATACATACAATTTATATATATACATACATTATATATATATGTGTGTGTGTGTGTGTGTGTTGTGTGTGTGTATATGTGTGTGTGTGTGTGTGTGTGTGTGTGTGTAGTAATAATAAATAATATTATATATATATATATATATATATTATATATATATATATATATATATATATAAACCGTACTTTACGTACTAGAGGAGTCTAATAGCCCCTATAAGCTGCTATACCGACTGCTGAAATTTATTCACACCGCCTTGTACGGATAAACACTCCGCAAACATCCTACGACGAAAACATACCCACACCTACGTTCTCACCATTAGCTTTCTGGCTACTAAACGTGCTTTCCGAATCTACACACAGACCCCAGAGGCACGCGACAAGCGGTTGTACCGGCTGTTGTTGTTTATTCACTCGGCGTTGTGTGGGCGGCCCTTCTACGGACAGAGTGCGGCGGAAGATGTACTGCAACACGGACGCCATCAGTTGTTTGTGGAGTTGTTTCAGCGCGATACGGCCCATCATATTCTAGCGAGTCTGTTGGCCCTGGATAGTAAGCAGGTGGGTTGGTAGGTAGATAAATAGGTAGGTAGATAGGAAGGAAAGATCTTGCACGCATGCAGATATATTCATGGCCCTGGATAGTAAGAATATGGGTAGGTAGGTATGGATGTAGGTAGGAAGGAAGAATCCTGAACGCATGCAGATATATGCATGTGTATTGAGCTGAGATTGTTTATATACACGTGTAGAAAGCTTCAATTGTCTATATGCACGTGTATGAAGCTTGTTATCGACTGTATTTTACAGTGTATGTATAGAAATACATGCTGTAATATATATTCTGTATACAGTATATGATATATAGAAATGCAGATCATATATAGTTATCCGGTATACAGAGTGGGGTATCTTGATGTGCCAAGTCCTATACACGTCCTATTTGAAAGCGAACTTAAGGTAGTGATCCAGAGTGGGCCAAAAACGTATCCACACACAACTTCTTATGTGTGATTAGTAATTTGTATAGCTATGCATATTCCAATACATACATGAATCGTTTTTGCCAAGTACATGTCCCGATATCTCATTATAACATCACTACATACCAAATTTATATCACTACAACATACCACATACCAAATATATCTCATTATAACAGTAGTACATGCCAAATATATCTCATTATATCAGTAGTACATACCAAATATATCTCATTATAACAGTAGTACGTACCAAATATATTTCATTATAGCAGTAGTACATGCCAAATATATCTCATTATAACAGTATTGCCTATCAAATATATCTCATTATAACATTAGTTCATACCAAATATATCTCATTATAACAGTAGTACATACCAAATACATCTCATTATAACAGTAGTACATGCCAAATATATCTCATTATAACCGTAGTACATACTAAATATATCTCATTTTAACAGTAGTACATGCCAAATATATTTCATTATAACAGTAGTACATACCAAATATATCTCATTATAACAGTAGTACATACCAAATATATCTCATTATAACAGTAGTACATACCAAATATATCTCTTTACAACAGTAGTACATGCCAAATATATCTCATTATAACCGTAGTACATACCAAATATATCTCATTACAACAGTAGTACATACCAAATATATTTCATTATAACAGTAGTACATCCCAAATATATCTCATTATAACAGTAGTACATGCCAAATATATCTCATTATAACCGTAGTACATGCCAAATATATCTCATTATAACAGTAGTATTTACCAAATATATCTCGATATAACAGTAATACATGCCAAATATAGCTCTATGACATTATACCATATAGTATGTCTCATTGTAAAAATACAACATACAATCTATATTACAACATGCAACGCCTATCTCATTATAACAATACAACATACAATTCATATTTCATTTTAACAATGCAACATGCAATCTATATATCATTGTAATAC